CTGAACATGCCACTGTCGTAACAGCTTTGCGAAATCGGAGAAGACGACATCACTAGACAAAACATCTCAACACCATTGAAAATACTCTTGCAGCTTTGAGAAGTCGGGAAGTGGTCGAGCAAGAGGATGAATCCATGTGGAGATACTTTCAAACATATATTCAATGCCAAAGTGACGTGGATGCAACTCTGTGTCCCTAAGGCAGAGATCAAGTGGTCCAAAGGTATAGGATTATCAATTGACAGGAAAATCGTGCGCGTGAGATTCACGCGACCGGTTTTTTCTCTCTAAACTTCGCCTTTGCCTGCAAAGCTCTGATCGTTGATTCGCCTCTCCGGTGACCGGGTTGACCGGCACCGTGAGAGAGCTCTCTCCCCACACCTTTCTACTACTTATTGGTACCGATTGTTCTCTGATTTTCTAGGTTGCTATGCTACATCGTGGTGAGTGGTCGGAGAATCGCCTTGCTTGATGACCGCGTCCGAGCGGTGGATTTTTCTCTTGCCGTGGCTTCTGCTTGTCGATGGTGGTTGCTTCGGTGGAGATTAGGTAAAAACCGTCCCCTTGTCTCAAGCGATTCGACGGGCGAGATCTTCTTTTGAAGATCCTTCTCTTTCCAAGCGTTTACGGAGACGGAGAATCTCAGACCGGCACTGGAGCGACGTCTGGTTGCCGTGTGTCTCCTTCTCTATCTCTAAACAGCTTCGACATCTTCTAGGGTTCCCTTGAAAGATCCGCTGCAACTCGTGGTGAGTGGTCGGAGAATTGCCTTGCTTGACGACCGCGTCCGAGCGGTGGGTTTCTCTTGCCGTGGCTTCTGCTTGTCGATGGTGGTTGCTTTGGTGGAGATTAAAAAACCTTCCCCTTGTCTCAAGCGATTCGATGGGCGAGATCTACTTTTGAAGATCCTTCTCCTTCCAAGCATTTCCGGAGACGGAGAATCTCAGACCGGCACTGGAGCGACGTCTGGTTGCCGTGTGTCTCCTTCTCTGTCTCTTAACGTATTCGACATCTTTTGCAAGATCTGCCGCAACTCTTCCTTTTCCAGTGAATTGGGTCCTCTATCCGTGTGACTGTCTGTTTGTGGTTGGAAGTGTCTCCGGTTAGAGTGTTGTCTCTGTGACACGGTAAGTGAGAGGTAGTTCTCTTGGGTTTGGTCTTTTGAGATTTCTTGTGGTGAAGATCGGATTGTCTTTACTGCTTGATCCACAATCCCTTTGCCTTTTCTCTCCTGGACTAGTTTCAGAGCAATGTTTATGGTTAGTATGGTCTGGGTGGTAGTTTTGACGATTAGGCTCGATTGATGTTATTTTTCGTCTGGTGAATCTGATTAGACAGATTTAGGTT